AGTTATCATAATAGGCAAAAAAGTTGCCTTCAAGGAAAGACAAACGACTGGGTAATTAAAATAGTACTAAGTATTTTTTTCAGAACATGCAGTTCCAGATATTTTTTTCGAATTTTAAGAAAATATACAGAAGATAGCAAACTTGCTTCACCAACAGACACCTTGAGTGACGTGCAAGACTCAGGTCGATGAATGAGTAATGGGTCCGATTTGATAGGCCTGGATTGGAATTGTCAAGGGCTTGTGGGACGTTCTTTGTATCGACATTTTTACAAAACTGTACACGAAAGGAGGACAAGTAAATGATGAAAAGATTACATGTGTGTGATGTAGGTCCCTTACAGTATCAAGTTTATGGTGAAGAAAGCTCATTGGCACGGATAAAAATCTATGCTCACTAGAGACATATTAGCATGCTATTATCACAAACAGTCCTTCCAACAAAATGGAAAGCTGATGGAAGACAATGCAAGAAATGTTTGTGAGAGCATGGGATCGAATTTGAAAGATAATTCAGAAGCATTTATTTACATTCAATGTGTGTGCGAAGAATTGCGATAAGCCAGGAGGCCAAGCCATCTATGCTAGACGTGTTTGCTTATGTTTGAAAAAGAATAAAGAGGATCTCAGTCTTGTGCGAATATGCAGGCACGTTGTAAATGCAGACGAAAACCAACTCGAGTGGATGATTAAAATTGCAAAGAGAGTACATGGGTTAGTGACAAGCATCCAAGCGATCGCCAAAAATTGAATGTTTCAATCGGACAATAAGTTAGATGGTGGCCGAGCGAGGCAGAGAGCAAGAAAATCTTGGTGTACGTACTAATTGGGAGAAATGAGACAGAAGCAGACAGCAGAGGGTAGTCGGACCTGGGTTACCAAGGGTCGGGAAGATCAATGAGACGATCCATGTCCTCAATAGCCGAGTCAGGAAAAAAAGTTCTCTTATTGCCATACACATCAACCCAGGGTAAAATGTGCAGAAATCGATCACCAAGAGGAACAGAGTAAAGGTCGGTCAGGGAAAGCGAGAGCTCCTCAGGCGAATAGTTTTTCTGTCCCAAGATTGCTTGTTGACTGTCCTCACATTCCATCTGTTCGGGACTCAAGCTGTGCCAATCAATAAAGGCCGGAAGCTGCGGTAGCACTGGCCATTCGTCCATAAGATTGGTCACGGGTGGATGAGTGGAGCTTCTGCGTCGTCGATGGCGCCGGTGTCGGTGACGCTGACCATCATTAGAAGAGAAATCTTCATCATCAGACTCACCACCTGCCGATTCATGTGAATGTATGTGCTTCCGTCGCTTTTTCCTCTTTCGCTTGCTGTCATGTTTCTTCTGTTGTTGTTGTTTTATTTGGTTCAAACAGGGCTGTTGCTGGTGAAACAATCTTTGCTTTTGCTGTTTTGGGGGAGGTAAATGGATGCCCTCACTATCTAGCACATCTACCTCATCGTCATCATCCTCTTCCTTTTCGTGGCCTGTCGATTCATCCACTGCCAACGGCTTATTTAATGCAGGAGTAGCCGGCCAATGGGAAGATGGCTGTGCCTGCTTGGAGGAATCCTCGTGCTGCGGCAGTGGCGAATGGCTTACGGGGACTGAAGTCGGCCTAGTAGAGGGACGCGAAGAAGACCCAGGTTGAGGAAAAGTCGGCTCGTCACTGACTCGAGATATTGACCCAACACGTCCCAACTGCTGTTGATGTTGCTGATGGTGGTGCAGGGCAGTGCTCGCTAAGAATTTAGCCATCATCTCCGACTTAGCTGCCGTAATCTGAGAATTAGAACTGCCACTCTCCGACACTGATGTCGGTCCATGACCCTGAAGAGCGCCATCCTCGGTACCTAAGCCCCGTGTTCCCATCGAGCTAGTTCGTCGGACAGCATTCATGGGATTGACTAGATTAGCAACAGAGCCGACATGAGGACGTTGGCCACGTGACCTGACCAAACTAGGCATAGTTGCTACCATACTTGGCAAATCGGGTTCTTTTGTGATGCGGTTGGTGAGGATGCGATCAGCAGTAACAGAATCAATGCAATCCCCGGCAGCTTGTACAAGTTCGGCAGTAGATTTGACTTTGCTAAGGCGATTAATCGAGCCAGATGGACCTGCGTTACCAAGGGCAAGATTCCCTATGGAAATGGATACAGCACTGTTGGTCCCACAAAAAATTGCACGAGGTCGACTGTGGTCAGCATGAGTTGAAGAATCCGAAGCTGGGGAGTTGGTATCGAGGTCTGCTGTCTGTAAAAAGCTGGTGAATGTTTGCCGTTTAGGAAGAATAGTAGAACCGAACTGATTAGCAGTTGAACTGCTTGGCTGTAGACACGATGATCCCGTGGTAGAAGTGGGATTGACACCAGGTGCACAATATGTCTGCTCGTCTATTGGCCGAGCCGTCATTAATTGTGCTGGAGCACGTGACATAACGGTAGGCACATAAGAACTAGTTGCTAGAGTTGAGCTCGTAGGAAATTCGGTTGCTTCACCTGAGCTACAGCGACCATTAATCACAGAAGGTAGGACGGGAGCTGTGGAGCTGGCAGGAGCGGACCGGCCAGTGGAAGAGGTATTAATGCATGATGATGATACAGTAATTGGAGCAATATGGGGTACATCTAGTCGGATATGTTTGGGGTGCAGCGTTGGCAACTGTGTTGAACTTACAGATAACTTGGGTCGACCGGCTGTGCACAAAGGTGATGTAACAGATTCCCGTTTATAGGTTCTGCGCTGAGAGGAGCCGTCCGAGCCAGTGGCAACAACGGAATCAATGAAAATATTACTTCCGGATGCCGATTTGGCGAGCACATGTTGAAGGGGGGCTGGGAAACAAGAGGATGTGGAATGATTGATCTGGCCGACATTGGGCGAGAGAATAGACTGAGGAAGAAA